AATTCAAATTCAAATTCAAATTGAGATATTCGAGAACTAGGGGAGGCTCGATGAAGATCTCGTTGACACGGCCTAAAACTAACTTACGGGCACGAAGCTTCACCTTTAGGGCCGCTAGCGACTATTTGAAGTTATTGAAACATATACCCGCCACTCTATCGCTGGCGCAATTTAAACGCCATGTGGTCAATTTGCTGGTGGGCAATGGGGGTCCTAATGTTTTATGAGACTGACTTACATCGATTAACATATATTTTATAATTATATCGGTCCTACTTGATTGTGTGTACTTTTTGTTCAACAATTCACATTGTGTTATTGTTACTTTTCTCACGTATGCCTTACGCAAACGTAATAAACTTATAACTTATTATGTGCTGATGGTCTTCTATTACTTGGCGTATTTATCAATACAGGAAGTCAGGAAGTAATCAAGGTAATTTTATATATTGTTTGAATTAGTTTGAGGATACAAGTTTTTACTATAGCCCTTGATATTAAAGCAATATAATATTATAGCCAACTATTAATGACCAAACTCATTTTTAGGGGCTACACGTTTGCCTTTTTTGAAAAAATCATATAGTGTTCATTTTTCGGAGTGTATGGATTATGTGTGCTTCTTCGGCATAGACCTTATAAGCAAAGGTGAGTAATTAGGACAACTTATTGTTAGAAGTTATAAATTTTATTGTTATATTGAGTAATTGTGATTTTATATTATTAATGTATATGACTACAACTGTGTGTAGAATAATAGACGTATTACAGATATTCGTGTTTACATATACATAAGTATATCATTGTTTGTATTTCTTTGTGCCGATTTTTTGAAGAATGGAGGACAGCGCTTCTGTTAAGGTAAGTTGTACTATTGATTAGATTTGTTCAATTAATTGCAAGGTGAGTTTTGAATTAAGGTTGCTATATGTGTATTAAAGGTTATGTATTAAAGAAGTTGTGTTTTGAGCTGGTAGTTATTCTAATCTTAACCAATGTTAAGAGAGCTGGTTTCGATTACGAAAATGTGGATCAGGTTGTACGTCATAAAACTCAACAGGAAATGATAAATCGACATGTTTAATCGAAAGAGTGGTGAATATTCCAAACCCTAGTAAGATGTCAATGCGTGAACTGGTAAAAATGTTTTCTGCTTTTTTCCTGAGGTCGTTCGACCCGACCTGCAGAGAATATTCATAAAAAGTTGGAGACTCTCAGGCTAACAGTTCTTCCACCTCCGCCGTGTGGCCCTATCCTCGTGCCAACAAAAGACAACCCAGTCTGAGCTCTAGCGCTCTTCCCCAGGAAGAAATTTTACGCTAAGTGACATGACCTCAAACTCGACTTCCGATCTTTCTTCGATCAAGAGCTCCTGGAATTTCAGAGGAAGACAGCGAATAAATTTCCATGAATAGGCAATACATTGTAGATGACAGAGGTGTATGTTTGGATGAGCAAGAACGAATAAAAAGAAAAAATTTGAATTCAAAAATACCCAAAGTGATTCACTAATTATGGGACAACCTAATATAAAGTAGTATATGGTTCCGCGACAAGTGAACGGATTAGCTCCTGTCAATTTTTTACCTCTAGAGAAACATCGCGAGAAAGTAAATCCGAAAACTTCCTGATTCACTCTACATATTGCACACTTCCTCCTCTCCACAAAATCGCAAATGCACCGGCCTTCTTGTACTTGTACCATCGGACATTTGATCCTGACTTGAAGCTAGGTTATCTGAAATTCAATCTGAAGGGAAAATACATCTGTAGTTACGGAACAGCTTTCACTGCTTCTTCTCACTTATATTATGATGTCATTAAATTGGCAAAACAGCAAAATGTCTGTGTCTCACCCGTCGCCTCTACTCTCTCGCCCATCCCTACGCCTAACGTCTCTGAGCATTCGTCGTTAGATATTCACCTCATCAAGTGAAGGTTCAAATTTATATTTCCAATCTTCTTGACAGTCTCATTCCCAGAGGTCAACCTCGCACTCTTGCTTTTATTTACAAACACAACAATCACGCTTGAGTAACATGAAATATAAGTTACATATTATAGCTCTAAAGTCCTAAGTTCATTTGAATGAGCTAGTTGAACACTAAAGCTGCCAAGAATTGCTAATTAATTGCAGACATTTAGTTGTGAGAATTTGTTCTCATCCACTAGACTTGTAAAACTGAATAAGTGGTGGAGTTCTAGCTGTCGGTATGCAAAGCGCATAAAGTGAGTCTTCGTCAGTTTGAACTAATGAAGCCGTCACTTCCAACCAATGGAACCTTCGTCGTTCGGGCCGCTCTCATTCAATGATGGCTAAATTAGCCTTTCATTTCTGTGGCTGTTTGAACGTTATTAGTTAGTGTTGCCGTAATCACACTCCAGTGTCCAAGCTTCAAGTATGGTATGGCCTGGGAGCTGGAGGAGTTTCTTTCGTTTAGTGTAGTTGAATGACACGCTGTCGTGGAGGGAGACATTGTTGTTTTATCAGAACTCTTTCTCCTCAGCTGCGATTCACATTATATGTCATAATCAATTTTTCCTTTGCCTTTCTGCGCCCATCGCGAGCGGTCGACTAAAGATTTGCTCAATGATCCCGTTCCCACCCAGCAAAACAAAGGCACCAAGCTTGCCGTCCCAGTCTGTGGCCAGGACAATTGCTAGTTCTATTCTGTACAACGATGGTATTACCCTACCGAATCAAATTCATAACTTGGCTTCGAAGGCGCCCGAAGTCATTCGGCTCCTCGACGATTTTCTGGGAAAGCTACCTTCGCTGGTTAAGGACTCAGTTGAAATTGACAAGAGACAGAGGTCAGTTGTTTTCTAAGGCATATCAGAAGTTGAAGGTGGTCTGTCTCCGTCAATGCGTCAAGCACATACGGAGAAGTACATTTCAGGTATCCTGGATTCTCTCGACATCGAGACTCGCCCTGTGGAAGTATACAGGATGGGCCAAGGTGGAAAATACGTGTAGTCAAGTGTTTTTCTCCTCTCATCGTTTCATGCTGGAAACTTTATCTAGGGCTCGTAAACTACGTGCTATATCGGACTATAAGGAGGTATTCGTGCGCAGATCGATGACTATTGATGAGCGCAAAAAGGAACGCAATCTACGAAATCAGGCTCGTGAGTTGAACGATAAAGAGTTCATCGACATATCAAGAGTGAAAACAACACACCTTGCCATTTTCAAAAAACTAGCTTCTCCACAAGACCGTTGCCCAAATTGTTTTTTTGCTCAATGCTCGGAGCCTAATGAATTAAGTCCACCATTTGCACTATTTGATGGAGACTTACAAACCGAGTATAATTTTTATTACTGAGTCTTGGCTGAACAGAAAAGTTGCGGACTCTGAACTTTGTTCAATTTTCCCATACACGATAATCAGAAAAGATAGGCATGGTAAGGCAGGAGGAGGATGTTTGTGTTTTTACATAATATTCTTTTGTTTAAGAGTCGTATTCGATTGCAGCTTTCTTAGTTCAAATGTTTCGTGCTTTGACATTCTACCAGATTCCCCTAAGTAAAGATTTCTCCTTGTGTATCGCCCGCCCCGATCTACCTAGATTCAAGATGATCAATTGATTGGAATCATGTCAGATCTATTTGGCTCGTTCCCCGCAACACAGTCATTCTAGGGGATTTCAATCTTGATATTGACTGTTATACCTGTACTACTTCTAACCCTGCGGCACGCAAGTTCCTTACCAATCTTGAGTTTTACACAACATAATACCTTCCCTACCAGAAAGAACAGTATCCTAGACCACATTTTGGCTTTCTTCACATGCCCTCAATTTCGAATAACAATATCATTTTCTTCGAAGTATCCTCCCTTCGGCTGAAGAGTGATAAGATTCTTCATAGAGATTACAAAGGTGCGGACAAGGAAAAATTAAGCATGAACTCGCTAATCTTGACTGGATGCGCATTTCGAATAACTATACTGACATCGGTGATGGGTAGCCGATTTGCTGCCATTATACGATATCATCGATCGCTATGTCTCCCAGTGCCTAATTGTGAAGCGAGTTTTGCAGATATCCTAAGCATATCTTGAACCTTTTTGAGCAGCGCGACCGGCTATTTCAGCAGTTGTCACAGCCGACTAAAAGTGCGCACTATGCCAAGATTTCAAAAAAATTTAAATTTCTATGTGAAGCGCTTTTTATCCTATAAAACAAGAAAGCTGGCGAAGAACAGTCTTATGAAAAAGCTTTCTGACTACATCAAAAAACTCAAAGCAAGCTCTAGTACGCAGCAAATTGTTGAAAACTCCGAAGGAAAAAAGTTCTCAAGTGATTCTCGAATCTGTGGCGAATTAATTTGCCAGTGTATATGGAAAATCAACAGAATGCGCCATGACATCACCTTCAGTTTCTACCGACTGCTTTGTGCTGTCCAACATTTCTCCGAGCAAGGTGCTGAAATAATTGATATTATAACTCCTAAGTCATGGCTCTCACTCATAGCCGATGAGATATCCCAAAGATTTTTTGAAAATTTTTCGAAGTATCTTGCAGTCCCTCTAGCGCACATTTTTAACATTATGTCGAATTCCTGCCATCTGGAACGAATCATTTGTCACTCCAAAAGTATCAACTGCAATCTCGTATCGAACTTCAGACCTATTAGCATCCTGCCCACTCCACTGAAAATTTTCGAGAAATTAGTCAATAAAAAGCTCCTGGATTGGGTCGCTAAACTCGACCTCATCGCCTCTGAGCAGCAGGGGTTTCTTCCTGGGCATCCACATGTACGCAGTTACTTAGCTGTACGCACACATCGAAACCCTCAACAGTAGAAAACAGCAGAAAAAATGTTGATATAGTTTATTTTGTTTTGAGCAGAGGCTTTGATAAGATTTGATATTCAAGGCTGTTGGCCAGGCTTGAGAGTACTGGTAATCAGGGAGGCACCTTGGACTTATTCAGATCTTACCTGGAAGGGTGGAAATTCAGTGTTCGTTTTGGAAACAGCATTTCCACGATGAGAGATTGTCCGTCAGCGGTACTGTCGCCCCTCCTTCTCCTCTTTTTCCTTCTCCTCTTCTCTGCTGGAACATCTCATAACCGACAACAGAATCACTGTTGCCGGCTTTGCCGATGATATCAAAGTAGCAGCGATCAATGAGCGGAAGGAAAGCTCAAGTATCGCTGAATAAATCCGTTGAAAGAATGATTAGCTGGGCGCTTCCTGGAGGTTAGAAATCAATACCAGCAAATTGTACTCATTTTCCCTTGGGGCATCCCCAGTCGAAGTACTATTCCCGGATAAGACTATCCCAAAGCATAGTGTGCAAATGAAAGACATGGGAATCAAGTTATCGAAAAATTTGAGTTGGAGTGTCTACGTGGACGAAGATAGCAAGCAAAGCGCTCAGGTTGGTCTATCTCCTATTTGGGAAGATTCACTGTTCCGATATTGACATGTGGATCAGACTCTTCAAATCATGTATTCTTCCCATTGTTGAATATTGTCGCCCCATTTGGAGCCCACACCTTGTCAAAGACATTGAGAGGCTCGTAGATGTTAAGAAACCCTTCATCGGATCTTGTACTACAGAGCATTTCTCAGCACGAGTTACACCCTGACACCCTGCAATCTTCGGAACTCGACTCCGGGAACTGAATTTGAAGAGTCACTTCCACAGAAGGATTATATCTGATCTGGTTTTGCATTTAAGATACTTAAAGGCGAACTGCGACTCCGCCATCGAAGTTTTGGGTATTTCGACCTTCTAGTGGACGACGAGGCGGCTTCCAATTTTTTGGTCATAGAATGGGCAAATTCAGCTTCGTTAAAACTGCTTCATTTGTGCACGACTCGTTGGCTGTCAACCTTCCGTCTTCTGTTTTACTGTGCCAAAACTCTTTTCAGTTCAAGGCAGCTTTAAACAAACTAGATTTGTTGGGAACTCTTGGCTAGAAGACGTATCGTAGTTTTTGTATTGCTCTGTTCCTGTATTTTTGTTCCTATTTCTGTATACACTCTTTTCGGTCGCTCAAGCAGAGTGGTCTCCTCCCTGGTTCTATGTTTTCGTGAATGATACTCATTTGATTCACTTTGAAATGACAAATAACACTACAACTCCCTAAGTATGATACAGTGGGTCCCTGGACTGAGCGGTAGGAGTACGGCGCGGCGGGTTTTGCCAAGTTTATCGGTTCCACGTCGGCACACCTGTATTGAAGTGACGATAAGCTACCATGACCCCACAAGTGGCGCTAAACGCACCATGACCGACTGAAGCTGGCACACACTGCAGCGTTTATCCCATACATCTCGAGAGCCCTCATAGCCTCTTGACACTTTATCGTTAGGGTCGAGTTTCAGTCTTCACAGTATCATTCCTACTCTTTTACTCAGGAAGCTGCTTGCCTGAACGACTTTCTCTGGCTTGTGCTTTTGTTAGTATTCACTAAATTCTCTTATGTGCTAACTAATCACGGGTTTTGCAGCAGGTTATTTTAGCTATTTTCCGATCACTCCATTATATTTTTTTTCTTGAGTCTGCATAATGATTTCAGCCTAGTGCTTCAATATGGCCTGTCACTGAACACATAAATAAATGAATCCTACTTACTATAAAGCGCTTCGTCTGTGTCGTCTGTCGTCTGTCGTTCTGTATGTCTGTCACGAAATTCCCTAGCTCCTCGGGATCCGCCTGGAGGAGACCGGGTCAAGTGTGGGATGGGTGGGCAAGGTCTCACGAAGTACAAAACACACATCAGCTAAGCGGAGCCCCGCCCACAGTGGGCGTGCGTCGAAATGAGTTGTACTGTCGACCAAGATTTCAGGTACTATACCAAAACAGCCTCGAAACTGGGCGGAAAAGTGTAGGTAAGGTGTGCATTGGTAAGTCAGATCGAATTAGGGAGACCCACCCCCGGTGGGCGGGGCGTTCTCCAAAAAAGCAGTGCTTTATGAAAAATTTCATAACTCGGTTGGGAGAAAGCCTACAGAGCAGAAAACAAATTGTAGGGAGCAATGTCTAAGGTGTTTCCCAGCATACATGACGTGGGCGGAGGCCCGCCCACAATGGGCGGGGCGCGCTCTGAAGTGTACAGCGTTTTCTACAAGTCCTCATAATTCGGGCCGGAGAAGTCTTAGTGAGCCGGAAAAAGGTGGATAGAGGTGGGTGGAGGAGTGGAGGCCAACTGTCATCGGTGGGCGGGGCATGACCAAAGTGGGCGGAGTTTGCGACGAAAATTCATAACTCGGTTCCAAGAAGTCCCGGAGACCGGGAAAAAGGTGGATAGAGGTGGGTGGAAGGAGTGGAGCCAAATAATTGGTGGGCGGGAGCATGACCAAAGTGGGCGGAGTTGCGACGAAAATTCATAACTCGGTTCCAAGAAGTCCTGGAGACGGGAAAAAAGTGGATAGAGGTCGGCGAAGGAAAGGAGGTCAACTGCTATTGGTGGGGGCATGCACCAAGTGGGCGGAGTTTCCGCGAAAATTATAACTCGGTTCCAAGAAGTCCTGGACGGGAAAAAGGGATAGAGGTCAGCGAAGGAAAGAGAGGTCAACTGCTATTAGTGGGCGGAGCACGCACCTAAGTGGGCGGAGTTTGCCAAAAGTGTCGTAATTTGGTTCCAAGAGGTCCCAGAGACCGGTGAAAAAGGGGTAGAGGTCGGCGAAAGGAAGGGGGCCAAATGCTATTGGTGGGCGGGGCACGCACCGAAGTAGGCGGAGTTTGCCACGAGATTTATTGTCCGGAAGCAGTCCGGAGACCGGGAAAAAGAGGATAATGGTTGACGAAGAAAAAGAGGTTGAAAGCCGTCG